ACCTAAACTATATTATATTATGCAATGAATATATTATTAATAAACTATATTAAACATTATATTAACACCATTGAAACTCAACCTAAACTATATTATATTATGCAATGAATATATTATTAATAAACTATATTAAACATTATATTAACACCATTGAAACTCAAAACACAAACACTAAGCCTAAAGTACCTTTTTAGTATTTTAAAATAAGTGATGTGTTTTTTGTTTTTGATATTATAGTATAAAAAAACACAATGATTTTCAAACACATTGTGTTTCGTTATTGGCAAAAGCACTATGGAAACACTAAAAGCACCATGACATTCAAATGCTACTGTTGGTGTGTTTTGTAATCAAAGTGATTTTATTGTAGTGTTTTTTAAGAAAAACACCAATCCATGGGGTTTTTTTTCAAACATGTTTTGGAAACATCATTTATAGTTATTATTTATATAGCGGCGACGGCGACGGCGGCGGAGGAAGGGCGAAAGGTCAAGTCAAAAAAATACCCCGGTTGCCAAACGCGTTTCATTGTTTTTTTGAAAAAAAAACTAGAAACGGCAGAAACGCCACGGTTTCCAAACGCTCCCAACTACCTTATTTAAGAGTTGCGCAAATGTGCACCATCTATAGGTTTCAGCTACGTCACAAAATAGGCAAAACTCCTCTAATCCATCAACTATAAGCTCAGCAAAGAATCAAATTGTCCAAATCCAACCCTCAAAATTTAGGTTTGATAATGATAATTAAAAACTATTTGTTTGATTAGTTGCATGTACCTGAGATAAAGAAGTGACATTAAAGAGCAAATATATATCTCTAATCGCAATTAACCCCAAATAGAATAGAAAATTTAAAAAACCGTATTGTTAAACGACTGCAACTAGAGCCACGTGTGACGACAATTGTCACAAACCAAACAACGATAAATTTCTACTCACATAGGAAAACGCATCGCATCCTCATCCAAATAAAGATTAAAGAAAAGGAAATCCCACGAGATACTCATTAATCAAACCAATCATACACATGATACACGTAAATCAAACTTCAAACAAAATAAAATATCACACGCCACCTAACACATGAACTACAAATAGTGGTCATTGACTCATAGGAACCGAACCCATATTCCATGCTTATCCGGTTATCCCCCAAACCGAACACACCATATACTTTCAAGAATCTTGTCCCCGAGCGCGAATCCAACGCAGATGTCGTCGTCTTGTGGTGGGATCCAGAGCCTCATCTCACGAGCAGCGATTCGATCAAGAACACCGCAATCCTTATCTTCGTCTTCTTCATCTATCGATAGCTTGCTTCTTCGATCTGATTCCAGCAAATCTAAGCCTTTCTCTTTGTCCTGCTCTCGTTTCGTATTCCTTAGCTCCGCCATGCGCAAAGAGGAGACCGCCGCCGCCGCAGCCGGCGAAGTCTCCGTTGATCCTGACATGGATGCGGTACAGAGGCGACTCATGTTTGAGGACGAGTGAGTCGATCTTTTCTGTTCTTGTTTGATTGATCTATGATGATTTTTAGCATTTTGTTGTTTTGAATAATTTGTGCGTGTTATGTGTTCGTGATAAGGTCTGAGTGAGACTGATGAAAAAGAAGGGATTTTGGAAATAGAATGGGATCTTGAGCAGGTAAATGGCACAGGGATCTCAGCCAACTCTGATAAGTCAAAGTTTTTATTGCCTGGTCAATTAAGATACACCGTTCCGAGGAAAAGTTGAAAAATTGCAAAATGCCGCTATATTTATGAATGCATGTTGGAATAATAGAGCATACTTCTTTGCAAGAGTGTTTTAGCCTATGTTAGATTTTGGTGGCTTTTGGCTTTCATGGTTGAAATTTTAAAAATTTCATGGGTATAGTAGTCCTTCGTTTTGTCTAGCCTAGCTTATTTAGATCATTAGATGTGCTCATAAGCTCAAAGTTTTATATTTTTGCCAACTCTAATAAGTCAAAGTTTTATATTTTTTTTATACAATTAATGGATATTTTAGTTTGCTCAGTAGAGCAGAAAATGCCTTTAACCAGAGAAACAAGTTTGAACTTGTCGAAATGCACGTCAACATTTTGTTAGTGCATTTTTCTTTCCAAGAGTGTTTTGAGGCAGGACTGAATTAATTTAATCAGGCAAAGTTGAGTTGGTGGAGGTTCCAATAGAATTCAGCTAAGAAGGGGACCATGATCATTTTGTTTGCATGCTGGATGTCTTCACAGGCTAGGCTCTTTGGATATGATGGAAGAAGTTAAGCTGGTCAATTAACGTTTTTAATTAGGTTATTTTGTTACCTTGATTTACTTATCCCATCATTATCTTTCTTATGTAATTCCTTGCTTTTGCTTATTCTACCTTTTTTTCTTTTTGCCTCAAATATCGTCTCGTGTTAATTATCTGAAATTTAAAACCTTTTTTCTGGATTAATGATTAGATACTTCTTTTCTTATAATGCATATTTTACTTATTATTAAAGGCATCTTATCATAGCAGGCATTCACATAAATAATTGCTGGTTTGGTGGAATAATCTTGCTCTGCAGAATTAAAAAGTATCTAGTTGGACACATTTACAGAGAAGGGGAAATAAAAATACAAAACTAGATGGTGCTTTCACTTAAGGGCTTCAATTTCATTTCCATTCGAGTATAAATCCTAGATGTCTTCTTTCTGTTCCATAACTGAAGATAAATGTTTCTTCCGTACAAAATTTAAAGATCCCTCATTTTCCGTGTTCTAAATGTCGGATGTTGGGGACATATCAAACATAAAAATTCATATGGGGTGGCAGATATGAGTGGTATATTGGTGATATTTAATAAATATTGGAGTGTCAATAAGATAATGTGTGTATGTATCATAGATGTTCATCCTTGATGCACCAAAGAATAAAGCTGTGGGAAACGTGGTATATTTTGCAAAAGAATTTGGTCTCAACTTACCCTAAATCTTCTTTCTGGTTATTTACATGAGAAGATATTGCTTTAAATTTAGACCTAAAGTTCCATAAACAGTCTTTTAAAACAAATAAACTTAACATTGCAACATTTAGCCGATTTTTTTGAGGATGAAATGTAACCTAATATATTGGGGAATTCATGATACATCACCCAAAGGTTGCCAAAAGTGAGAGGATATTGAGATCACCTTGTTTTGCGAGAAGCCTTAGGAAAGTATTTAGCGACTGATATATCGGACATTTCCATGATATTGGAAACAATGTCTTTTGTATGACTGTTTCTAGAAAACCTCTTTTTTTTTTCTTTTTTCTGTACTTGCTGTTTATTCTGTTGTTTCTAATCTTGAGTACCATATTGATGATAGGAGTAGATCCCATATTTCCCATCCTTATACGATTAGACTCCAAAACGAACCAGCAAAGTTTTCCAAAGGGTAGAATTTTTCAATGAACACAAATTGAAAAAGCACCCAAACTGATGAAGTGCGAGGTGCACAGCTCAAGTTAGTAATAATTATCAAGAACCCAACAAAGAGGGAGAGTGAGAATTCCAATCGAGATGTCGGAGTCTTGTGGTGGGATCCAGAGCCTACTCTCAGGAGCAGCGCTATGGTTACGAACATCACAGTTTCTGTCTTCTTCTTCATTTATAGTAGATTGCTTGCTTTTGTGATCTGGTTCCAACAAATCTAGCCTTTCTCTTTGTCCTGTGTCCTGTGCTCGTTTGGGTCATCTCTGCACCCCCGCCGCTCCCATGGGAAAAGAGGAGACTGCCATGGCCACCGCTGATGCATTCACCTCTGTTGCCAATGGTCCTTACATGGATGTTGTTCAGGGGTGTCATGTTTGACGATGAGTCTGTAAATATTTTCTGTTTTACTTTGATTGTGTTATGATTTTTGTGAGTTATGTGTTCGTGAGAAGATCTGAGTGAGATTGATGAAAAGGAAGAGGTTAATAATCTGGAAGATAGATGGTATATGGAACTGTGGATCTCTGCCAACTCTGAAAAGTCAGAGTTCTATATTCTTGAAAATTAATGAATATAACCATTTTCTCAGTAGAGACACAAATGCCATAAATCAGAAGCTGGAACTTTTCAAAATGCTTGTCGACTTTTTTGATTCCTTTTGCTTTGCGAGGTTGTCTTGAGCCGGGACTGAGTTAATTTGGTAAGGAAAGTTTAAGTGGGTGTGTTCCCAATAGAATTTGACTGGCAAACTTCCAAGAGAATTACAATTAGCTAATCATCTTGGTAAATTGTATTCAGATCAGATCGGTACAAGGACGGAGATTATATTGAAGGCATGCTGCAGCACTTGCTTTCACGAAACATAGGCTAATGGAGATGCTGCAAGATGTTAAGCTGGTCAACATTTCGGATTAGATTAGTTACTTACCTTGATTTACGTCTCCACATCAATATCTTTCTCAAGTAATTTTTTGCTTATGCTTATTCTACCTTTTTGGCTCATATGTAGTTTCTTGCTTGTTTTATATAAGCTGAAGTTTAATTTCTTTCTGGATTAGTGACTGTATACCTTTTTTAGAATGCATATTTTGCCTTATTTTTTTCAAGAAATCTTAACATGGTAGATCTTCACATAATTAACTGCTGGCCTTGGTTGAATATTTGAACCCATTTACGAAGGGAAAGAAAAAATATACTAGCAGATGGTGCTTTGAATTAGGCATTGCTTTCATAATTTTCTCTTCTTGGTCTACTATAATTCAAGATTTATATTTCTGCCTTTGCAATTCATAGTATAGAATCCTCATTCTCCTAAGCCTGTTTCTAGAATAATCACTCTCTTTTACTGTTTTCCTTGCTTTTCAATCAGTCCACATGGTACTCACGTATTGTTCATGCCAATTCTGTTCTGCTTACTTTTACCATATCTGTTCTTTTCACTTTATCAATCTTGTATTCCCTAGTAGCTATTCTGTTGGATCTTTAAGGTATGTAATCTGTGTGACAGACTTCAAAAGTGACATACACATTTTGTGACTCCTCGTTTATGATGTTGCATTATTTTTTACAGCAATTAATTGTCAACAGCTTTCAAATCTGAATATTGCTATATTATGCAGGTGCATTTTGGTTGATGAGAAAGACAATGTTGTTGGCCATGAATCCAAATACAACTGTATGTAGTGGATTACCATTCCTAGATATATTTAACCATTTACATGAAAATAATGCATATTTGAGATTGAGTTCTTCCATATCTATGGTTAACTTTTTTCGTTCAGTTTTATGTTTTTGCTATTTCTCGCACATGATTGATATATTTATGTTATATGATATTGGTCTTGTGAATAGAAAAAGTACTTGACTCAGAAAGAAGATGCATATTTTTGACAGACTTGATTGTTAGGATTACTAGCTGAAGAGGACTTTCTACTTAGGGGCTGTTTGTTTGGCCCTTGGTTGGTTTCCTAAAAACCAAGAAAATGATTTCCATGTACTTTTTGTATTAAAATATTATTATAATCTATTTCCATCCCTAAAACTCATCCCAATAAAAAGAAATCTATACACTTTTATCAATAAAATATTATTTTTATCCACCAACTCATCACATCTCATATCCTTTCTTACTTTTAAAAATAAACCAAACACAAGAAATGAGTCACATCATCCAACTCATCTCCTCTCATATTTAAAAATCACTCACATCATCCAATAATATGGTGACAACTCATCTCATCTCATTAACATTTCATTTCCACCCATTTCCTCAAAAAAAAAAAAAAGGAAATTGATTTCCTTAAGTGTCGGTCAAATCATCCAATAATATACAAACAACTCATCTCATCTCATCTATTTTCTTATTTTTAAGAATGAACCAAACACAAGAAAGAAATTATTATAGGAAATAGGTTTCTTATAATACATTTCCTTATTTTTTTAACCAACCAAACAACCTCAAAACAAGTTTTCTTAAAAAATCACTCACATCATCCAATAATATGATGACAACTCATCTCATCTCATCTCTTATTCTTTGATTTCCTTCTTTTTTTAACCAACCAAACAACCATAATACAAGAAATCCTATTCTTTGATTTCCTATTCTTTGATTTCCTAGTTTTTTTGCGAAACGAACAGCCCCTTAATGCATTTAATAACCAACAAAAAGTGCATGTTCTTCCCAGTCCAAATAAACCTGTATGTCTATTTTAATGCAGTAGTCCTTTGAGTTGTAGATTTCTTCGAAACCACTTTTAATTATATATTAGTTATTTTGAGAGTGTTTTTTTCACTGTATTTTAGCTATATTTGTCCTTTTGATACTTGCACGAGTCCTCCCAGGGTATTTGTTTCTTTTACCATTTTCTGTAATATCTAAGCAGTACCGCTTATGCTTGGTTAGAGCCTTTTAACTTGTCACCTACAACGTTACACGTGTACGGGTGCGGTCATGGGTGCGGATGAGGACATGGGTCATGTCAAATTTGTAAAAGGTAGGATATGAGACACAACTATATATGTACATATTGAAAATAGTAATTTACAAGGGATCAATTTTTTTATTTACATGTTACCAAAACTAGATTTCTGTAACATTTTATGGTTCATTTATTAAGTAGATTATATATTGGGAAACCACTCGTGTTTTAACTTGATACATAAAGACTCTTTGAAATCATTCTTCCAAATATGGTATGGGCTGTCTTGTTGGTTAATCAGAGAGGATGATTTTCCTCTCCCCCTTGGGTCTTATTTTATAGGTTAGAATTTAGAAAGGAATAATGTGGGACTAAACAATGTACAATACTACTCTCAACACTCCCCCTCAAGCTGAGCATATATATCATACATGCCTAGCTTGGTAAAAAAAAATTCACTCGTGTTCTCCCTAGATGTTTTGTGAGAATATCTGTAAGCTAATGTCCTAACGATATGTGCTTGGCTCTAATATTCCCTTCTTCATCTTCTCTTAAATCAAGTGACAATCGATCTCTATGTGTTTTATTCTCTCATGAAATACTAGGTTCTCAGCTATATAGATAGCAGCCTTGTTGTCTATATACAAGCTCATCAGACGTACATGAAGGAAATCAATTTCTGTCAATAAATCTCTAATTTACAGCAGCTCACAAGTCAGATTCACCTCTAATTTACAGTAGCTCACAAGTCAGATTCGCCATGGTTTGATACTCAGACTCAACTGTAGAGCGAGAGACTGCACCCTGCTTCTTACTTCTCTAGGAAACAAAATTTTCTTCGAAATACATATTACCTAGTAGTCGATTGTCTATCTGCTGGAGATTTTGCCCAATCTGCATCTGAGAATCCTGCAACTCTTGCATGTCTACTATCAGAATAGAGAACTCCCTTACCTATAGTTTTCTTAAGGTATCTAAGGATCTTCTTCACGGCCTCCATATGGGATGTCCTTAGTGTTGAGAAACTGTCTAGCTACATTGACTGGAAATACAATATCTGGTCTAATAACTGTCAGATAGTTCAAATTTCCCACTAGTTGTCTGTATTTCTCAACATCTTCTAGTTGCTCCACCTGATCCGGTGCAAGTTTGATATTGTTATCCACCGGTGAGTCAATACCCTTGTATTCTGACATGGCGTTCAATAACATACTGAACACATATTTTCACTGAGAGAGGAGAATTCCCTTCTTTTATCTAGCTACCTCAATGCCCAGAAAGTACTTTAAGGATCCAAAATCTTTGCTATGAAATGTTGTTGTAGATACTCCTTCAAATGATGAATGCCTTGTATGTCATCTCTAGTAATCACAACGTTATCAACATATACTATAAGGAGAATTTGTTTCCTATTGTGAAATCTCCTGAAAAGTAAATGATCTTCTGAGCTTGTTGAAGGCCAAACTTCTGAGTTATTCCTGCAAAACATCCGAACCTGGTCCTTGGGGATTGTTTCAAGACATAAATGGATTTCTTTAACTTGTAGACTTTCCCACACTCCCCCTGAGTAGAAAATCCTGATGGTTGCTCCATGTAAACTTCCTCATTTAGAATGCCATTTAGAAATACATTCTTGACATCCAGTTGATGTAGTGGCTAATGATAGCGAACAACAAGAGAAATAAGAATACAGACATAAGTAATCTTCGCGATAGGAGAGAATGTGTCGATATAGTCTAGCCCATAAATTCGTGAATATCCCTTTGCAACTAGGCGAGCTTTGATGTGAGCTAGAGACCCTTCGAGATTCACCTTGACTGTATAGACCTATTTACAACCAACATTTCTTGCCAAAGGGTAAGGGAATAAGATCATATGTACCATTCTCCTCTAAGATTGTCATCTTCTCTTGCATTGCCGTCGTCCGATGTGGGTGAGATAGAGCTTCAGACACATTATTGAAAACTGAGTGAAGGAATGAAAGAATGATATGACAAAGATAATGAAGAATAAGAAACATAATGGGCAATCGGATATCGAGAACAAGATCATTTATCTTTTCGAAGGGCAAATGGAAGATCATCTGTAGGAGTAGCACTAAGCTATGTGGCAACATTGTTACTAACTTGTACTTTTGTTCTTTGCCCTTTGGTTACAAGTAGATTCTGGCACAATAGTCAGAGTGGAATGCCGTGTATAAACCTGGACTAGTTCAACAAGCTTAGGTGGTGGATCCGCTCGTACAACTGACCCTGAGGGTGCATTGGCAGTAGTCTCTCGAAAGAAAAGAAAGTGAACATTATCAGGAGGGGATGAGGGTAGTTTGTCAAAGGTAACTCGTCCTGATTTGTTTTCAAAAAAGGTGACATCGACTGAAATGATGTAATGATCCAAAGAAGGACAATAACATTAGTATCCTTTTTGAGACTAAGAGTATCTAGGAAAGATTTTCCTAATAGGCTTCAGATCTAATTTTGTCCTTTGAGGACTGTGATTGTGAATGAAACATAGTTGTCCGAAGATTTTGGGTGATAAATGAAATTTTTTGCTATCTTGATACAAAAGAGAAATTAGAGTTTTGTTGTCTAAAATAGATGAAGGTAGACTATTGGTGAGCTAACATGCAGTTAAAATGACATCCTCAAAATTGTTTCGGAACTTCACTAACGACAACCCTATTTTATTAGGGTTTGTACATACAAGATGACTGATGTAGAATCCAATTTTCCTTTAAAAAATTCGTAAAAGTGTTATCAAAATATTCTTTGGCATTGTTTGTTCTTTGAGTTCTAATGTTTATGATGAAACTGATTTTTAACTTCAACGTAAAAAACTTTAAAAATAGAGAACACTTCAGAGCTAGTTTTCAACAAGTAAATCCAAGTTATGGGAGAAAAATCATCCACAAAACTAACAAAATATTTATAATTAAGTTTTGATGAAATGGAACAAGGACCCCATACATCTGAATGTACTAACTCAAACGGGGTTATGGACCCTCTTATTGACTCGATTAGGGTAAGACACTTGTTGATGCTTTCGCAGTTGACATCACTCACAATCTAGAGACTTGACACGACTCAAATCATAAACTAGAGTTTTTAGAATTAAAAGTGGTGAATGACCAAATGGACAATGCTCCTCAATGGCTGATGTAGAGCTGACACATGCCACCTGGTATGAAGAAAACTCCGGTTCATATAGGCCGTCCTCTCACATTCTGTGGCAATTGTCTTCCTCATCCCAAGTGTCAAAAAAAGACAACGTGTAGGAAAGAATGTTAGCGTGAAGTTTAATGCTTTAGTTATCCTATTGACAAATAAGAGATTAAAAGGAAAATGAGAAAGATATTATTATATAGATGAAAGTAGAATATTAGTAGTTTTGGAAATACCATCTCCTGCTATAGGTGTCGTTGAGCCATCAACTAATACTACTGGAGAAAAGGAGGTGGTAAGTGTGTAGGAAGATAGTATATCTCGATTCCCAGTCATATAATCCGTTTCCCCTAAATCTATAAGCCCAGTGTGAGATGACGATGATGTAAGACAAGTAGTGGGTTTACTTGACTGAACTAGTGTGGCTGTAGTAGCAGTGGACTGAGCATTCTAAAATTGTTGAAATAGCTGAAGCTGCTAAAGCTGCTAAAGCTAGCATTGAGTCTTGTCATCTAAATGACTCTCGTGTGCAGCTACACATATAGACTGAGGATGCTCACCCTGTAACTGAGGATAACTGAACTTCATATGACCTCTTTCTTTGCAATAGTGGCAGTAAATAGAGGAGCTATCTGCTGTGGCTCCATGTGAGGTACCTCTTCGACCTCTTTGTCCTCTAAAACGTCCTCCATGGCCTCCAAACCGACCTCCAACATGAGCAGGGAATGGTTTGCTCTGTGTAGCAAGTGTAGACTTGTGTGCAGACTCAACGACAATGCTTGCGGATGCACTTGGAACTGCTGACCGCAAGATGTGATAAGTCTCTGGTAACGAACGTGTAGCAGAGCTTGCAATGATCTGTGGGCGTGTTGGAGTGTACGACTGTGGGAGAGAACCAAGAAAAGTAAGTACCATCAGCTGATCTTATTGGTCCTGCATCTTCCAGACATCTGCATTGATGGGGAAATTTTGTCGTAATTTCTCTGCAAGGCGATTAAAATAACCATAATACTACTCAAACGTCTGAGTTTACTCGTCCATCTTGCTCCTGAATAACTCCTGAATAACCTCATACACCCGGTTGGCGTGTCCACAACCTGAGTATAGCTGCTCCAAAAACACCCATACTTGTTTCACTAAATTACAGTGAATGCATAACTAAAGGACTTTCGGTTCCATACTATTCTAGATCTGATGAAGAAGGCTAGTGTCATTTTGTGTCCATGAGGTAGACACCGTCACAAGAGGAACTATAGTAAGATGATGAGCCTTCCCTTGGCTAGAAACATACACACGAACTAGTTGCATCCATAGGAGATAATTAGACATGTTCAGCTTCTGGTCAGTGATTTTGCATCAGTCCTTCCACCTTAGCTAGTGAACCCTCAACAACTAAACAACCATGTACCAAGTACCAATCAACCAACAATCAAACTACCTCCAAACAAATCCTCGCAACTAATCCATCTCTAGCGAACAACCAAACTTCTAAACTTTTTTTTACGCTAGGGTTTCTGAAATGTTTCAAATCTAAAACAGGGTGTCGGCGGCTAAACTGTGAGGAGGCCGCTTGTTTGTCGGCGGCTAAATTGTGAGGAGGCCACTTGTTGGTCATGGGTGGGCGGTCGTGGTCAAGGACTGGTTGAGAGTTAGTTGCTAGATGACAACTGGACGATAGCCGGACAACGTGGTCGCTGCTCTCTAGCGGTGGCAGCGGGGTAGAAACAAGAGATTAGGGTTAGGGTTAGGTGGCAACTAGGGTTAGGGCTAGGAGAGAGAGATGGAGTTGGGGTATGGCTCTGATACCATGTTGTTGGTTAATCAGAGGATGATTTCCCTCTCCTCCTTGAGTCTTATTTTATAGGTTAGGATTTACAAAGGAGTTTGTTCCTTACCAATGTGGGACTAAACAGTGTATGATACTACTATCAACAGGCTAAAATGAACCCAACCCATGTCAAGTGAGTTGCTTGAATTGGTTGTGGAGTGTAAGATATAAGTCCAAGAGGAGTATGATGAATGTCTTAAACTAAAACATGTATCATATAATTGAGTACACGTCCGAATAAATGTATGCATATTAAAGGAGTGTCCAATAAGTGTCCAAGGAGTGTCGGAGTTGGATACGTGCCAAACATGGATATGGAAGCCCAGACGAAGTTTCAGGGTAACCTAGGTCACCTAATGGTTATAGGATTAAAAGAATAAGGTCCAGGTAACAGCACTTTTACATTTCTAATTATTTACCTACCTTTCTTGCTACCAATTTAATATGTTACTTTAGAGTTGTACCTTTATTTCTTTATCTGGTCATTTGACGCTAAACTATCCCAGATTTGGTTTTAAACCTAAATACACATTAACAGTAAAAGCCTGTTATTTCTGCAAAATTTTCTTTCTTTTCCTTTTGCATGGTTGCATAACTATAATAGACTATAATAGTTATTTGGTGGCACATTGCGCTGTGGTCTTCTCTATGACTTTGAATTTCATCATGAGAAGGTTTTGCACTTTCTTTGAAGCTCTAGAACCAAGAAATTGGTGTATCCTACAGTGTGTGAATATTGGAAATTTGTGTATGATCACAGCAGAACGATGTCTCCACAATGATGGTATCGTCTATAGTTCTGTAACCAAATTTGTGTGGATTCTTTTCTTTTATAGGCCAACGGTTCATTCTAATATCTAGGCTGGCATTGGCTGATTCTCACATCTACTTCTTGTAGATGAGATCTTAGGCCAAGGCTCAAAACAAAGAAAAGTTAAGCTTTGCTATGGACTATAGGATTAGCAATGACAACAATCCTTGGAGGAATATTTGGTGCCTTAGGAGGATAACTTATAATTTGAATAGATTTAGGTTGCTAAATAAATGTCTATAAACAATGTTGAAAATTGAAATATGCTCACATGGTTAAGGCCTTGGAAAAACAAATATTTTATGTCTATATCTGTCCATATTTTTTTCTAAGGGACATTCTTAAAACCAACAAGAAAAAGTAGTTGTAGAACAATGATCCCATTTTTACAAAAAATCTAAGAGGGAAATGCTTGAACCCGTATGACGCACTCTGAAATTTCACTTGCTTTGTCTTTACTTAATAATGTCCATTTCTACAATCATATAATTTTTTTTGTGTCCAAATAAATGGTTACTTTTGATGTAATAACAAATTGAATTAAGTACATTTCTATCTCTTAATGGGTAAATGTTTGGTTATGCTTTGAAGTGTTTTTGTTTGTAGTTTCAGCTTAATAGGAACAAAAGAAGTGCCCATCATTCATAAATGTCTAGAATAAGCCAAGCATACTATAACCATTTGCACTCATATTATCTGCAGACTTACAAATTATCCTTGCTCTCATCCCGACTCACAAATTATCCTTGCTCTCATCCCCACTTAAGAAATATGAAGCTTAAGTGATGCAGTGATCATATATACAGACTGGTTTATCTCCATCCGAACTCATACTTTGATGAATCCATATATAGAATTATAAGGCTGGAATAATGGTATCTTTCTAGTTTTGATGGTTGAAACATATCCCTATCTGTTGTAGTTAATTGGAATCAGCATTATTTGCATTTGCTCAGATGTGTTCTTTTTCACTGCTTATTTGATTTATTTATCTTTGTTCAATGCAATTTTTGGAAGAATTATACTTTGACCAGTGTTTAGGGGTTGATTTCATGTAGTTAATGTTTGTCACCACTTACTACCAATTTCTGAAACATTATTTGACTGATTACTTTAATAATTTGTCAATAGCAGCAATGATTTAACATGCACTCGAGTTTAACAATTTTACAAAATTTTCATTTGTATATATGTATAATGGTGAGCGCTTGTATTAATTTTAGGTCATCTGATGGAAAGGATTGAGTCTGAGAATCTGCTTCATAGGGCTTTTAGCGTTTTCCTGTTCAACTCAAAATATGAGCTGCTACTTCAGGTATGTAATGAAACTGCATGTTTATTATTAGAAAGTATTGTTGTTATTGTTCAAAAAAGAAAGTGTTTTGTTCAAAATAAAGGGAGGACACATTTTTTGAAGTGTCCAATTCACACTTGGATAAATAAGAATCCTATCTTTTTGAGATGACAGGCTTCCATGTGTCTCCTAGGGCTATTAATATATTCATGTTCATTTCTAAGTGAGCTGATATTTTTGGAATGCACGTCGTCATTCTTAACTTGGGGTATATAGGTTATAGTATATTGTTCATTTCGATAAATATTGAACGTTAGAATATTTCTTGAGATTATGCAGTTGTAGTTTTTTGAATTTATGTGGTGGATTAGCATCTCTTCTACTTGTCTCATCATTTTCTGAACGTTTTTAACCTGAAGAGGTTTTAGCCATGCACAAATATCCATGAATGTGATTTGGAAGAGCGAAGGTCAGAAAATGGGCCAACTTTCAAATGCTATTTAATTGTGATATTTCTTATATACAGGTAAAAGTATAATGCAGGCTTGTAAAAGCATTCCTGATGATGAAAACAGAATTGTGTACAATATGGTAGCGCCTATTTTGTCCTGCATGATCCACCCCTTTTAGAAACCAATGACTCAATACTGAGTGCATAACTGCCAGGAAATTGTATTCATATTGATGCAATTTTTTTCCTCCAAAAGGCTTGTAAGGCTGGAAAATCTTCTCTTGAAAAGTTGAGGAAGCGTATTGAAACTTAGATATTTGGTGACAGATAACCTCACTGTTGGGGCTTGGGAAACTTTGGTGATACTTTGTCAGGAAATCATAGTAGTGTCTAATGTTTCAGTAGACCATGAAGACATGTCTTTTTAAATACATTTAGCAACTAGAAGTACTTCTAACACAATTTCAATTCGCAGGTTTTCTTTATAGGTCCTTCTACATGTCATATACAGTTCCTTACTATTGCCCTAAAGGTTTAATTTGCATCTTTTGTAGATATATATTGTTAGAAGTCATATCTGAATTTGGTATCCATGCAAATCCACAGTTTCCTTAAAGATTTCTATTGGCTGTCTCCTATGAATTCCGACATGGTTAACTGTGACATTACCAGATGAAGTAAATAAGCATGTAAAATTATACAGTATTTAGCCATCCCACATTCCATCTTGTTACACTAGATCCTCCTACCTAGTACAAACTTCGGCAAAGTAGTAGATTTCAGATGTTTATTCTAGCCTGAATATGTTGTCAGGCAATAGATAAATCAAAATACAAACTCCATATTGAGCTTTGATCTTTTGTATTTCACTTCCTAAGCTTTGGTCTCCATAGTTTTGCTCCTCTTTCTCCGATCGTTATAAGTGCCAATGTTGTTTGTCTTTACAGCTTTGTAGTTAGGAGTGCCTGTAGAAGTTGTGCTTATATAATGGTCTCTGGTAAGCCATTTTCTGCATGCACAATTAGAGCATCTGTAACCAATAACAACTAAGTAACTGAGTTATTATTAATAACACCCATAATTATGTCAATCCATGAATAACCCTTCAAATGGAATATTGATGAAAAACTAAGTTCCATAACAATTTGGTAATTTATTGCATTACTTGCTCGGATTAATTTGCTTGACTGCAGTCATTACTGGTTCATGAGTTTGCATATTACTTATTTCATGAACTTTCCACTCTAATTTTTTTGTGGATTATTTGGTTATGATTTGCTCACTCTAATTTGTTTTGTCTAATATTGCTGGTCCGATAATAATAATTTAACAATTTTTAAGGTAGCGTTGCCTATCGCGATAATGACAAAATATTATGTTGATTAATGTTATATGCAATTTTTTACAGCAAAGATCTGCGACAAAGGTGACGTTTCCTTTGGTATGGACCAATACATGCTGCAGCCATCCACTTTATCGTGAATCTGAGCTTATAGAAGAAAACTACATTGGTAATCTTGTTTTTAGAGAGAAATAAATCCAATACTAGTTCTTTTCAATTACAAAAACTTAACTAAACTATATTACATTGTTTTAGGGGTTAGAAATGCTGCTCAAAGGAAATTATTAGATGAACTCGGTATACCTGCTTCTGACCTGCCTGTTGATCAATTCACACCTCTTGGACGAATACTTTACAAAGCCCCATCTGATGGAAAATGGGGAGAGCACGAGCGTAAGCCCTTACAACAATGCTTGCCACTTTCGTTTCTCTCTTGGGTTTTTTAGATATTAAATCAATCAATCTTCAATAATTCCATATTAGTCCTTCAAACCTTTTAAGTCCCTCCAATCCCAAGGTCTTGCAACTTCGTCCCTCATGACCAAAAATCCACAACCCGCACCCCCCAACCTCAACACCCAAATAAAAAAAGCACTAATGTTTTTCCCTCAAAAACCCTTGCGTTCATGAAAATATGAGCTGAGGGACATTTAGAGAGTTTTTCTTTCCTTTTTTTTTTCTTGTTGTGTGTGTGTGTGTTTTTTGGGGGGAGGGGGTTGGGTTTTGGTCGAACTAGCTTTTAAGTTAGCTTTTTCATATCTACTTGTTTGGTAAAATACCAAATAAGTTAGTTTGTAAGCGTCATTTTAAAAAGCTGGGGTACTCTGGCTTTTGAGAAAATAGCTTATAAGGTCAGATAAATTAGGTTTGACCATACAAATTTCTATTTCACCAAACAATTTTTATCATAAAAGTCAAAGGCCACCAAGCTAATGTAGCTTGAAAGCTCCTAAAATTAAGTCCCTCCTAACACCCATTGAGCGACCAATTTGCAAGACCCCTTAGGATTGGAGGGACCTTTGAGCCAAGTCATTTCAAAGATTTGAGGGACTAAGATGGAATTATTGAAGATTTCACGGACTAATATCTGAAAACCCTTCTCCTTTTAATTTGTGTTTTTAATCCATATTTTCCTTTGCTTGTCTTTATTGCAGTCGATTACCTTCTTTTTATTGTTCGAGATGTCAATATGCAACCAAATCCAGATGAGGTGGCAGATGCAAAATATTTCAATAGAGATCAATTGAAGGAGCTGTTGAGGAAAGCTGATGGTGGAGAGGATAGTATAAAGCTATCTCCATGGTTCAGGCTGGTTGTCGATAACTTCCTGTTCAGATGGTGGGATCATGTTGAGAAAGGTACGCTCCAGGAGGTAGCTGATATGAAAACTATTCATAAGCTGTGACATAGAAGGTGAACATGATCAGAAAAGGTTTGATACCAGTTGATCAAATGTTTGTGCATCAATATTTTGTTGGAATAACCAGCAGCTGAAATGTTTGCTGATAGGATGAGACTAGCATTTTGTTGTTCTATTTGGAGTCCTCTTGTTGTTTCCTTCTGCAGTTTTAAATTCAATTGGTTATTATGATAATCTGGATCATCATTTTCGTGAGTCAAGTTTCGTTATGCTTATGTTGTTAATTTAATCAAAGAATGCATGTTGCTTTTTAGCTACTTCTTGCAATAGCAAGTCGTAGGCTCTACTGCTACACGATGAGTGTAATGCATATTTTAAGGTCTAAATTGCATTTAAAAGTCCTACAATTTCACTCACCTTTTACTTAATTGGGCTCTAGTTTAAAATTGAGCAAATAAATGACTCAAAATATTTAAATATTGCAAATAAATGCTCTAAAATCTTGAAATGTTGCATTTTGATACCCTTTTATTTACCCAATGTTGCATATAAATATCTCAGTTTGTAAATAGCCTCACTTATATACCCTAGGGTTTCTAAAAGTTACATTTTAGTATCTTCTGTATGTGGTGTTCTTGGATATGTAGAGAAATTGCATTCTTTTTAACTTCGGGCATTTAAGTGCAATTTAGCCTACTTTTAAGTAGCGTTGCAGTTGTGAAGCGCAACTCTAGGCAAAAAGGATAAACTTATAGGATGCTGAGCTAAAAGATGAAAGCCTAATGGTCATTTTTTTGACACTTTTTTTTAATATAAAATTGTGCCCACAGTAAAAAAGAATGTTTGCTTATACAATTCCCATTATAAATTGTTTTGATATCCTCATTATCTAATGGGTATGTTAAATTTAATAAATTAAATGTTTATATTCTCTCTTTAAAAAGTAGTAACTCTATAATCTCTGTACTGATAGTAGAAATATATAAGAGTAATGCTCCTATAAACCTAAATGGATAGAAATACTTGGCCATCAACTTTTTTTATCTAATAGATTTGTTTTGAGATTTGTGCAAGATACGTGTTAGATAAAAAAAATTAGCGGGTAAGTGCTTTTTTCCCGTTTCTCTTCCTACCCATCTCCTTCACTTAAATTTCTTCAGAACCATCAAGAAAGCTGTAAAAAGAGCGATGAACTACGTCTCATCAGCGATGATTTTACATGTAATGTGGTTCTCCACTTCACATTTCATCAAGGTTAACTTTTAATTTGCCTTCTCAATTGCTTCTATCTTCTTCCTGATTTTCTGTTGTGTTAGAATTTGCAAACCATGGAAATTTTAAGTGCTTTCCTCACACAAGGGATCAATCTGACTAAATTATTGGGTTTTAATAGCCTTTAATGTTTTCCTCCTTACTCTCTCAAGTATACAAAATTTTTAAGCCAAAAGAAGATCATTTCACGAAGGAAACGAACGATAATAAGATTTAACGCAAGAATCAGAATCAGTCAAATCCAATCTAAAGCAAAATGCAAATTTCATAAAGAACATTGAACTAAGAATTTTTTTTTTATGGGGGAATATTGTTCGCTGAGTCTGTTCATGTGCTCGAAGATGAGGAAAAAGAGAGAGTTATTTTGCAGGTACTAGCCCTCTAAGGTCATTGCTGTCGATAGACCCTTTTTTTTTTTGGGAGTCTCTTATGCACAGTTAAATTTTGGCGTATATAACCCTAGGTGAAAATTTAGTGAGTCTTTCTACAAGTAAAAGAGTAGGAAAAATTTTACCTACTGGGTGTATCTAGAACAATGAAACTATAAGGCTAGTAAGTCCAAAACAGCGGTACCACAAGGGTTCTATATGCAATTAACTACACTTTCAAGTAATGGCTTGAAATTCAAAACTGCTAGAGTATTTTAGATCTGTAAGTTATGACTTTCAGAAGAAAAAATTATTTTGTAAAGTTTATTTTCAAATATAACATGAAAGATACAGAAGTAGATATTACGCTACGTGCAAGAAGAGAGACAAAATTAATTATGTTAGACCTAAAAATCACTATCTCGCTCCGTCTCATTTATATCGGTAAAATGATCAGATTGGTATATTTTTAGGTATGGTGACATATTGGTATATTTTCTTTTAGTTTTGTCAGATTGGTATAAATCTTCGACTCCGGCGTCATATAGGGCTTAAATTTAGCTGGAGTTACTGTTCCGGCCAGGGCTGATGGGATTTTTTATAAAAAACCTCTCATCAAATACAATTTCCTGCTCCTAACCCCCCCTCTCCCCCCCTCCTCCTCCTCTTCAACCTCCCCCTCTCCCTTCTCCTCCTCATCCTCTTCCTCCTCCTCCTCATCCTCTTCAACCTCCCCCTCCTCCTCTTCCTCCCTTCGATGTCGACTGGCGGCGTACAAATCTCTGACGACCTAATACCCGACCTCCCCAATAAAGTGGCTCCTCCTCATCCTCTTCCTCCTCCTCCTCATCCTCTTCAACCTCCCCCTCCTCCTCTTCCTCCCTCCGATGTCGACCGGCGGCGCACGGATCTCTGACGACCTAATAACCGGCCTCCCCAACGAAGTAGCGGAACTCTACCTCATCCTCCTCCCCTTCCCCCTCACCTCCGTCGCCCCCTCCATCTCCTCAACGTGGAACCAGATCCTCACAAACCCTAGCTTCCTCCGATCGAAATCCAGCATTTTGTTGTCCCTCCCTCATCTCTTCGTCCTCGCCTTCGACCCCTTGACCCACCGCTTCCAATGGCAGGCCCTCGACCCCCATCTCTTCGTCTCTCCCTCATCTCTTCGGCTGACTTGTGTGCATTTCACCCACTAGCATCGAACGACCATCGAAGATGAGGAAGGATGGTCAAGGTTGTTGTTGTGGCGAGGGAGCAGATGGCTGCCCCTAAAAGGTGGGCAAGGGAAGATTGTCGTTGAAGTGCAAGGGCATGGGCGTTGTCGATGATGCTAGCAGTGGGCAATGCAACTCAACATATCATCGAGCAGTTGGCGTGCAGGTGGGTGTGATTGGGTCAGTCGTAGGGGTTGGCCGCAGATCATTGGCTTGGTGGTGGTTTGTAGAGGAGGAGGGGGAGGTTGAACCAAGATAACTGATACGCAACAACCGGGGATGTTTAGTCATCAAAGGTGAGCAAAAAATGTACAATCAAATACAATCAGAAAATGCCAAAACAAAAAACATCAAATACAAAAGGATAAATCATAAGTTTAAGTTAAGTGGGTGGTCACCCTGATCAGAGAGAATGGAGGGGGAGGTTGAACCAAGATAACTGATACGCAACAACCGGGGATGTTTAGTCATCAAAGGTGAGCAAAAAATGTACAATCAAATACAATCAGAAAATGCCAAAACAAAAAACATCAAATACAAAAGGATAAATCATAAGTTTAAGTTAAGTGGGTGGTCACCCTGATCAGAGAGAAGGACTCCACTGGCTCCAACAGCAGCAATGTTCACACGATCACGAATCAAAAGATAAGCTTTGTCCCCAACCATGGACTTGAGAACACAAGCAGCCTCGTAGAGGAGACTGCCACTCTTATCATCACCTTTGCCGCTCTCAAGGACCACAACCCTAACCCTTTTGGAGACCGCAGAGCTTACTGCCTCAACAACCGAATCCTGATCTCTGCTAAGAATCTCTTCAGAGCTCAGTTTGAGAACCACCGTAGGCACTTTTGTCTCAAGCTGCTTGAACCCACCAGGGAACAGAGTTCTAAGTTGCTGTTGGCTGCTGTTGTTGCTATTGTCATTGGGATTGCTGATGGCATTTTTTAGATGATGATGATGGTGGTGGTGGGTTTTCTTTTGAATCGACAAGCGGAAACAGAAATTGGGTTTTGGGGTTTGTTGTTGGGATTGGCGAGGAGAGGGAGTTTGGAGAGGCGAGAGGCCAATGAAGTGTAGTTGCAGAGAACAGAGACCATGGGAGGAGAGAGAGAGCGAGAGAGAGAGAGAGAGAGAGGGGTTGAAGAGGAGGAGGATGAGGAGGAGGGAGAGGGGGAGGTTGAAGAGGATGAGGAGGAGGAGAGAGAGGGGGGTTAGGAGCAGGAAATTGTTTTTGATGCGAATTTTTTTTGCAAAATATCCCATTAGCCCTGGCCGGAACAATAACTCCGGCCAAATTTAAAGCCTATATGGCGCCGGAGTCAAAAATTTATACCAGTCTGAGAAAATTAATAGAAAATATACCAACATATCACCAAGCCTCTAAAAAATGTACCAATCTGGCCATTTTGCCCATTTATATCGTGAAACGAACATAACCTAATTAGTAACCGTCACTGGTCTCCTATCACTAATGGCGGGTGGGTCCGTCGTTGCCATTATGTTGCATACCTATTTATCTTCTGTTTTCTATTAACGAACGATGGTCTTCAATATAATTATCGTTATATTTTGGTAAATCGAACTCATTTTCATTTCAAGCTCAATTATAAATTGGGATAAAAAAGAAGCTCAATTATACATAAATCTAAACATCTGTACAACATATTTCCACACCAAGTAATAGGATAGTGATAGTTTCTTCCCAATCCCTTTACCCATGATGATAATTGAGATTGGCACCAGTGACCAGTCCTCTACAAACAAGTACTCTTCAACCGCGAGACTGACAAATCTGTAAATTATTACCGAAGCAATAGACATAAGCATTAAAACAATTTAAAAACTATGACCTATGGAGAGTCATGATGCCTGCATGTCACTAGCAAAGCCTCATTACAATCCTTCACCCCTGACGATAATTCACACTAACGTATCTGTACACTTAATGGTGCAACAATGAATATATGCATTAGTTAAAACAATTTAAAGGCTCCCGACCACCACGAACATCTTCTTTTATACATGAACGCAGCTTCTTCTGGATGTCCAACAAAATCTCTAAATTAGATTTCCTCTGTTCGTTTTCTTCTGGCCTTTGCTTGTTCTTTCTAAAGCTTGTTTCTTATATGCATCCTTTCCGAATCAATTCATAGAGAGAACAGAGATGGTAAAATTAGGTGGCTTTTCGCGCTTTAATGCGAAGATGATATCGATGAGCATAGAGATGATGACGCGCACTCGCAGGAGGAGAGTTTTTCGAGAGGGTGACTTTGGAAAAAAGAAGGCTAGATTCGATCTGCAATACTGTGCAACCTTAATTTTATTCACCATGATGAACAAGCTACCAAAGAGATAAAAGATACGACTAGTTTTAATATTATTGCTACTGGTTGGACATAAGATATTGGGAAA